TTTTTATATGCAAAAATAATACACTAAACAACTTGATGCTTGGGGATTAAAAGGATTTTGTTTTTTCCATTACAGTTTATAAAGGTCAACATTAAAACAAATAACTGCTGAGCCATATGTAATTGGTGATATTTACACAAAAAAAACTCTTATCTTTGTTTTAATCAGCTTTCTCTTTGGCAGGAGGACAAATACTTGTCTCTCATTGCCAAGACATCCCACAATGCACAATACTGAACACATCCTTACCTCCTAGGAACAACATGAGTTCTGGGTAGGGGGAAAGCAGATTCATTGTTATCTCATACACCCACTCTGTGTACAGAATCCCCTATAGAGGGAATGAAGTGCATGAAGCAACAATAAGGACAACTCTACGAAGCTGCTGGGTATTACATTCAGTCAGTCTCACCCATTCCCAGAGACAAACAACCCCAGAAGATGACATGAATGTACATGCATGGATTTCATGTGTGCAGGAGGACATGCATGCAACCTGAACATCAGCACTGTAACCCAAGGTCTCTTTATACATAAGTACATAATAGAATCACAGAATAATTAGGGTTGGAAAGGACCTTAAGATCATCTAGTTCCAACCCCCCTGCTATGGGCAGGGACAACTCACACTAAACCATGTCACCCAATGCTTTGTCCAACCTGGCCTTGAACACCGCCAGGGATGGAGCATTCCATAAACGCATAAGGATTCCATAAACAGAGCAGGAGATTTTTCTGGGTACTTGGCAATACACTTTGTGCGTCTGAGTTTGGAAACTGCCTCCAACATTTCCAGTAGTTAAGCAGCAAGCCTGCTATAGGGAAGTCAATATACTAAAAAAGAGCTAGAACTGGATTGAAATAATATGATACAAGTTCCCTAATTAGGGATTTTTTTTAGTTCTTTAATGCTTATTGTCATTTGCATGTGGATAGCTGGATTAGTCCCAGGTTTCTGTTTGCTTCTGCAGATATAAACCTCAGCAATGGGGAAAAACCTGTAACATGCAAGATGTAAAATGTCCCTCATGTAAATGAAGATCAGGTTTATGCATTTTATCACATGTACATAAAATCCACACACTCTGAACTATGTTTACTCTTTCATTCTGCCACCTGGCAGTTACTTCACATTGCATGGCAGGGGCAAGTTGAGAGCAGGCATGGATAGAGAAAACAAAACACCATCCATGATTAACTGTCAAGAGATCTTCTTTCAAAAGAAGGAATAGTAGCAAAATACATGGCCATATCCCTTTCTACAGCTTTACAATGCATTGGATATTATATGTAACCTTCAGCAAACCCACGTTTGCTCATCTGTTAATAACTGAGATCCTTTCAAGACCTTCCAACTGAAACTAAAAAATGATGTTTAACATCAGACCATGCACAGCTTGTGGGTCTGTCATATCCTCATTAGACTCACCAAAGTAATGTTTGCACATTCACCAGCTTCCCTCCTAGGACATTTCTCTAGGTGTAGATTTCGATATACTACCACTGATTGCTGTGCACTGCCCACCTCTGCACTCTTGTGCACAGCGTGCAGTGATTCACTTAATATTGTTGATACTGGCTTCAGGCTACAAGCAACTGGAGTTGAAATTGCCTGGGAAAAAATGGCCTCTTGGGTGTACAGATATGCTCTGTGTGACTTTTGCACATTATAAGTATGGTACTAAATAGAAGTGCTCAATAGATATGAAAAGAATGATGTACCTGGACGCAGGTCTCGGGGTCATACACTGATGTTGCCCATTGCAGGTGTATTTCATTGCAGTGAGGCAACAAGTAACTGAAGTGGTTTAGACTGAAACTGATTTGCAACACTGGGCCATGAAAGTCAGAGATGGAGAAGGCCGTGAAGACCATCTCTTTGACAATGCACAAACAATGCTGCTGGACTGGGCTGAAAACTGACCAACAAAACTCAGGTCATTTTTCTGAGGCAGCTGAGGCTGTCATCATCAGAGCACTCATTAACTTTGCACATTTGCTATGCTGCATAGCAGCTCTCCATAGCCCCATGTTTCATATGGGTATCAAGCATGTAAAGTCTATAAGAGTATAACTTTCACTGAGTACACCTAGAGGAGCTACACAGTCACTGTGAAAATACCTAACTTCAGGAATTCAAAACCCAGGGAATAAAGCCATGTGTGCCAAAAAGTTGGCAACAGCATATATATTGTTGTGCCAGGAAGGCTTTTGGTGATTAGTGAGATGAAATAAGGATAGAAAAGGCAGGAAGGGAAAATTCCTTATCCTTTGTGTGTTTATAGAAACACACAACTCTGTGTGGTAACCATCTCTGTGGCAAAGGGGAGATTTTAGCAGCGGTGCTGGAAACTGGATGGCCCCTGGGTGGTAGTGAACTGGACCTTCATTCCTCTTGGACAATCTTTTTTAGCTGAATTTGTGCTCTCAAACTAGCCTCCCTAATTTGCACATTGACTAAGCCACCACATATTGTCTTGTTGGTTAGCAACCTTGGCATAGTCAGAGTAAGGATTAAATGACGTATCAGAAGTTGTGAGGATTGAAAAAGCCTGGCATGATAAGTACCTTGAGCAATGACTAGCACAAACCAGAGCCAAACCAGTTTCTGGCTTCCCAGAACATTACATTCAAAAGGAAAAGTTTATAATGGATTTTATTATAGTTTGACTCAAGGTAAATTCTTGATTAAAGAAGACATTTCTGTCTGTAAGCTCTGTAATTTTCCTTGCACACACTAATCATTCCCGCTTCCCACTGCACTAGTACATATTAATTTTCAGTTTTATAGCTTTCAGTGAATTCTTAAATATCATTTACTTTTTTCCTCACACGCACTGTTTATTTTTATTCGTCGAGACAGCCAACAAAACCTGCAGAAACACTGCATTATATTGTAACAGCATTCAGACATAAACCCAGGGAGACAAAATGTATTCCAGTAATTTAGCTTCTGTGACAAAGTAACTAGGGAAGAAATATGACCTCATGGTGAAGACAGCAGCCTAGACTTGGAAAAATGGATTTGAGACTCTCTTTTACCCCTGCTTTCTGATTTTACTTTAGGCAAATCACTTCATTCTCAACCCTTAAACAACTTGATGTAATGCGTTATCACTTCTTCTGCATGAAGAAAGGCACCCAAATGAACTCTCTATGCCTCAGCTCTCCTCCCATAAAAGGAGAGTAGTGGTGCTCATCTTCACAGAGGAGCAGATGGGAACAAGAGGAAATTAAGTTTCTCATTTACCCCAACAGCAAGCAGAGCAAACTCTTCCCACAGCTCTCTCGCATCCATGTGCTGTGGGAGGCTGTATCACCCCCCCTCCTCTGCTTCACAAGCCTGTGCCCTTCTGGTCATGCCAAGATCGCTAGTGAAGATGGGAGGTAATGCTGATACAGGTACCTGTGCTCTGATGGTTGTACTGAAACTGTCATTTATTTTACACAGAGCATCAAATGGGCACTGAATGCTGATGAAGTGGGGGTTTTTGTTACCAATCCGTGCTTCTGGGTAGGGAATCATAACTGCTGAAATATCTAAACACTCCAGAGCAAATTTCAACAGTTTTTTGCCTTAAGGGCCATCTTATAGATGATGCGAGACAATACTGCTTTGAAACTTCTATTTTTATCTTCACAAGAACAGAATCTGACCTAAAATTTCATATGAGGATATTTATACTAGCTACAAGAGATTTGTTTTAATCAGAATGTGCTTGAAAGATTATCTCACATTCTGCTGGTAGACCCACTGAAACACAGTTATTACACAGCATAGAAATTAGTATCAACAACACCTCCTCAGGCATGCCTAGTCAGGACACAGGGAGGTAGGAGCTGCCTGACAGTCGCTTAAAGGGTAGCAGCTTTGAAACGCATTTTAGCAACAAGGCAGGGGAGAAATCACAAAACACAAGATATCTCTCCACTTTGCTTTTAAAGTTCAGAAGTAGTGTGCCATAAAAGTGATCGGGTGCTTTGGGTTTAAAACTGAACAAACTCAGGTGCTGATGCTCAAGGCAGACTATCTAAAGGGGTGAAATCAGCTTCTAAACTCTCAGTCATATCTGCAGTCAAAAGCCACTTCCAGGAAGCTTTGCTCTCCATGTTCATGGTAGCCAGGGTCTGGATGCCCACCACCCTCTCCAGCTCTGCCCTATCCCATCTCAAGCTCTGCAAACCCAGATGGCCCCATGGCTGTTGTTTATGAAGGGTCAATCGTCTCCAGCTCTTGACTGGTCACTCCAGCCCCGTGTTTCATTGTCTTACCCCCAGAACTGACATTTATTTGGCAGCCCCCTGCAGTACAACCAGATATTCATAAGAACATGGGATTTAAGTTAGAGGGATTTCAGAATGCTCTAGATCTATCTCTAGCAAATATTTTGTATGGTTCTGAGGCAGGTGATCTGCAAGGGTAAAGTCATGTCAGTAGGAACACACCAGTGTCCATCAGTTGTGGATGCGCCTTTAAGAAGTGGAGAAAAAATGAGATCTATGATTAAAATATCAAGGCCGTGGTACTTTCCTGTACTTAAAACAAAATCAATGAGAAGAGACATACAGCTGGAAGGAAAGCTAGCTTGATATAATCACAGTAAATTAGAAGTCTTTTAAGGCAATGGATGGTGTATTTTCTTCCTCAGAATCAGGGATTTCAAATATTGACAGACCCAGCAAGGCACAATCGATAGATCAATTCCTTTGTGAACTATTAATTATATAGATAGCTGACGAATAATCATTTAATTAGCATAATGGGAGGCCTCAGTGAAAAGCCTGTCTACCAAGTGTACTGGACCTAAAAATAGCAATCGTCTTTCAATCGTGAGGCTTTGCATGAAAATGCTATTGCTCAACTTCTGGTCTTAACACTTGTCACATCGCTCGGCCAATCCAGAGCTTTGCTAATGAAGCTTTCCCCCTTTACCACAGCAGTGCTGCCATATATAATCAGTTCCTCTAAGCCATGGCGACAAGGGTTCGGTAGGGATTACCTGGATCAGTTCATCAAGCTCGGTTGCATTCACGCAGGAATGCTGGGATACAAACGTCTGCTTCTGAATCACGATGGTGGTTCTCTGGGAGGTCTCATAAGGCTGCTCCAGGGCTTTAAATACTGTTGCTCCAATAATTAAATACACGACTACCACCAGGAAAATTGTTGAGACCGTCTTCCATTTCATAACATTAATGGCCGAATCACTTTCCTCCCGTGAAGAGAGCACGGTAGGCTTGGTGGAAAAGGATAGTCTCGGTTTGGAGTTCTGAGTGGCCGATTTGGGATCCAGCAAGTCAGGTGCCGCCACTGGCAAAACAGAAAAGGGAAGTTAATTTTTGCAGCCCCACTTGGATATCAGCAACTGAACTTCTTGCCAAGGTCGCTTCTAACTGGAATTCTTGAACTGTTGAATCTTCCCCTTAAATCACACGGCTCCTCACAACAAACCTGCTGTTCTGAGTAGTGTGATCCATTTTACAAGCACATCTGCAACGTTTCCTATATGCATCTGTTCCCTCATGATATTCAACCATTTCCAAGCTGCAGATTTCCCCTACACTCTTGCATTTCATTACATTACTGTAAGGTGGTATTTTGCTGCAGAGATTCTTTACACTCGCTGCTCTCTTAAGCACTGCTAAGCAGCTTTCCAGCTGTGTTCTACTTTGGCATTACAGAAGTAGCAGAAACATACAAACCCTTCCTTCCCTCTTCTATTTTGTCCTGTGTGCAGACAAACGCTCTCTGAGAACACGATCACATCCAAACTCCCTAGACACGACCATAAAAACAATACATTGCGCATCATACCAGCCTTGAAGTGTTAATTGCATATCAGTTATACCTCTCAGAACATAACAGTAAACCATATGTGTACTTACTGGAAAAGTCACCCATATTTTAGAGTGTGCATTTTTATTTACTTAAAATAATGTTTTAGTTAAACATTTATACATTAAAAAAAAAGTATTTTATTGACATAAAATAATTTCCTAACCCCACCGGGTTAGGAAAAGAGCAGCTGAGCGCGTTGTCAAGTACCTCAGTAATCCATGTGACTACCAGCAACTCTATGGGCACTAAAAACAAATCCACCACATCAAGCGCAGGTAAAGGTCTCCTGTGGGAAGATGGCCCCAGCAGCTGACCGCACAGGCTATATTTAAAGTGCTTTGAAACACAAGTACATTTTGAAGGGCCGCCACTACGCTCCCAGCTGCCGGTGGGAAAAGCCCACATCTAAATTGAGGGAAGACTCCCTCAGGCCGGCGGAGTGGGGGACAGCCCCAGCACGCGTGGCGGCGGTGCGTGGCTCCTGAACACCCGCGGGCTCAGGCCTCCGGCGGGGTGATGGAGGACCCCGCACAACCCACGGTCACGCCTCCCGCTGCCCCCATGGGCACCCAGAGGACGGGCACTGTTCCCCCCCGCCCCCCATCTCCCCACACCTTAGTGGGGGACCCCGCTCCCCTCTCTCTGCCCCTCTGAGCCAACACACACGGTGCCGGGGGAAGCCACGCTTCCCAGCCGCGGCCGCTCCCCGCTCCCTCCTCGACCGGGGCCGCCGATCTCTCCGCCCGCCCGCCCGGAGCAGAGCCGACCCGCCCGGCGGCGAACAAAGGAGCGGGCACCGGGCACCGCCGCTCCACCGCCCCCGAGCAGCGGCCGCTACAACGCGCCGGGTGATGCCCCGAGCCGCGGCCGGCAGGGATGCTCCGCGTCGGGGCGCGGTGCGGAGCCGGGAAGGGAAAGCAGCCAGGCGAGGGTACAAAGGGGCCCGGGCCGCCGCGGCGGTGCGGGGAGCATCCCGGGGTCCCCCCTCCCCGCGCAGGGGCGCATGCAGCATCCGCAGGACTGGGAGCGGGGAAGCACGCCATTGTGCTCGTACTCACTTCTTATTTACCGACCCGGTGCCCTCTCCTCGCTCCACGGGCAGGCATTTTTTCAGGGCTTGGGTAGATACAGTTAGAGCAAATTAAAAAAAATATATATATAAAAACCATAAAAAAATAAGAAAGGAAGAAAAAGCAGGAAGGAGCTGACCGAGGGGAAGAGGCTGATGGATGGGTCTGGAGGAGAGGGAGCGGCAGGGCGGGCTCGCAGGCAGCGCGGATCCCGCCGGCTCCCCCCGGCCCCGGGGCGTGCGAGGTGCCTCACGGCGCGCATCGCGCACCGCACATCGTGTGCGGAGTGTGTGTGTGTGAGGCAGTGAGTGTGAGGCAGTGCGTGTGCGAGGCAGTGTGTCTGTGCAGGCAGTGTGTCCGTGCAGGCAGTGTGTCTGTGCAGGCAGTGTGTCTGTGCAGGCAGTGTGTCCGTACGAGGCAGTGTGTAAACGTGAGGCAATGTGTCCCTGCGTGCTCCGGCGCTCGGAGCGTGCGGAGCAGCCCGAGCCCGGCGATGCCTTTTGTGGGGCGCCGGGCAGCCGGGTTCCCCCCCCCCACCTCCCGCACCCCTTCGCCCGTCCGCGCCCCCCCCCCCTCGGCAGCGGGGGCAGTTCCGTGCCCCGGCCGGGCAGCGGGCAGATGCTGCAGGGGCGCGGGGGAAAAGATGGAGGCGGGAGGCGGGGGGGAGGCAGTGCGGTACCTGCGGAGACCGGGGTCTCGCCTCTGGAAACGAGCGAGGGGAGAGGCGGGAGGGAGGAGAAGGCACCGGCCGCCCCTCCGGCGAGGCAGGACCTGCCGGCTGTCCCGTCCCCCCCCCCAAGGCGGGCGCCTCGCCAGTCTTCCCGTGAACTTTGGGACGGGAGGAAATGTCACGGCGGTGGCAGCGGGGGGACGAGCGGCCCTGGCTCCCTCCTTGCCGGCCTGATTTTTAACCCGTGTGATCTGCGGCGCGGTGCTTTAACACAAGGAGTTAACTAGGTGGGAGCTGGAAGTCAGGGATGGTAGCTGCTCTCCTATCGCACGCACCGCCGGCGTCCCGCCTCCTTCCATTTTAGCCTGATAGATACATCAGAAATGCTGCTTCAGCTGTGGTTTCTGCCACTAAAAAGCCTGAAATTGCTCTTGGTGTCTCTGCCACGGGCGAGCTCCCCGATTTCCCGGTCATCTGTCACTTGTGACACTATCGGCTGTTCACACCGAGGTGATGGACACCTACACTCACCTAAAAGACAGAAGGGGATCTGCCAAGAGAATCCCAAGCCTGGTCCCACAACCACTCTGTAAAAAGTCTCTGCAAACACGTTACAGAATTACTGCCTACAACAAATGGGTGCAGGGCACAACCATTTAAAGCTGACAATGTAACTGTAAAATGGCCAAAGTTAGTAATACATGGGGTGCTTAATGGGCTATCATCATGCTTAAACCAGCAGCACCATCAGCAAACACTTTAGAAGTCACTTATTTTAACGCTTCTCCGTATTAGGGTAATTTTGACTTCCTTAGGACTCCAATTTCAGCAGCATCAGTCAGGCCAGTATTCCCCAGGGCATTCACGTACCTCCAGGGGTGCAGCAGAGGTCAGGAAGCTGCCTTTGCTATTTCAGGTTGAGCTCCCTGCTCCCCATCACCACCAACCAAACAAAGAAGCTGTCGAGTTAGAAGAGGTGTTGGGCCCAATCCAACTAAACCTTTGCAAGCAGACCCTCAGCCATACAGCCCACTTCATCGATGTAGTCCCAATCCTCAAACAACACAAGAGTGGAATGCCTGCTCCTGCCTGTTGATATTCCCTTACACACAGGATTCCTGAAGGTGAGAAATTTTAATGCCTTTTTCTTTTTCATTCCAATAAAAAGAACCCATCATCTTTCGCCCTTTCTCCTGAAAATATTTGTTAACTGTTATCCTATGGGAAAACAGGCATGAACATTTTCCTCCATGCTGACCTGTGTCTGTATAAAATATTGTGGAAAATTGTACTACATGCCTTTCTTTAGCAATCTAAATATTTGGAACAAGATTTTTGTTTTTACTTGAGTGGAGGAATCATTATTAAAAGCTGAAAAAGGGTCAGACTTACTGCCTACAATTTTAAATCAGTGGGAAGCTTCCCAAGAGCTTCAGGAGGGTTTGGACCAGCCCTTAGATTTAGGTATTCCACCCAACAGGCAGAACGCATGTTGAGATCCACTCCAGGAATGACTGCATTGGTGCCTTCCCTTTAACAGCTGAAGAGCTGTCTCTGTGAAAGTAATTATTTCCATTCATTATCTAGTAAATATCTCCAATGTCTACTTTCACTTGGCTGATATTTTCCACCTATTGTCATACTAGATGCAATCCTCAGCTGGAGCTAACCGCTTACATAAATTGGACTTGAGCTGTGCTTTCTCACTTCTACCAGAGAGATACACACTCCACATACGACAGTCACCTTTAATGACAGGCATCTTCAAATCCAGCAGGAAAGCCAGTGCTGTACAACAAAAATGATCATGTATAGCAGCACCTGTTTTCTGGAGACCTTCTATAGCCTCAGCATTTGTTCTGTGAAGTCATGCCTTCCAATATATTCATTGCAATGTACACCACACATTGCTTGAATAGTGTGTGTAACCATTTTGCCCTCAGATTTGGAACAGAGCAGTTTGATGCATTAGGCCTGAGCTTTACTAAACAAACACGCTCAAATGCAGTGTGTCACTGACAGAACATACCACCAACCAACAGGCGAGATTAAGCAGTAAAAGAGGCTGCAACACAGAGCTCCAACCTTGCAAGCAAATGGACTTGCTGCTGTGCCAAAGAGATTTATCTGAACAGATGAAAAAGGAAAGAAAAAAGGCTTGTAAGATTAAGTACATACAGGTTTGTGTATTTCATGCTACTATGAGTAAGACTTACAAAGTACAAGACTGTCTAATGCTGTCTTAAACTGTATTGCCATGAGTTTGGGATGGCCACATTACTCACAGACGGTGGGTGCTGGAAGCTGCTCAACTCTTTGAAATGTTAAAAGTACTCTCCAGCGAGAGAGCCAGGCATGCAGCATGCAGAGGAAGTCAGAGTTGCATGATAAACATAGCAATCACATATTCATACAAATAACAGCTGTAGATGATCTAAACATAGCTTCGATAGGACAGGAGCACACTTATAAGGAAAGAGTTATTCCAGAAAATACACCAACTTAAAAAGAGTCCATAGAAAATGCCCTTGATGCTGTCACTTTCTTTTCCTTTTTCCAACTACAGGAGCAGTTCCTTGGAAGGCCACAAACAGCACTTGCTTTGTGCTGGAGCAAAGGGCTCCTGCTAAACCCTCCACTTCTAGGTGCAGTAAATGCTCTTCCTTTTCAACTGGCTGCACAATAGGAGGTGCCACAGGTTCCAGCCTTCTTCACTCTTATTTAGCTGTCAA